GCGAGAGCTGGGTGCGGTGGGGGGCTTCGCCGCCGGACCCGCGTCCGGGACGAGGGAGCCGCGCTCGGCCTCGTAGCTGGGCTCTGGTTTGAGTCTCGGCCTCAGAGTTCTTATTCAACGCTGGATCCGTCAGGGAAGTGAAATTCCCATCAGGACAAACAGGTCATAGTGCCCCTGCTCCCACGTGTCCGTCAGGGAAAGCCCAGGGCTGCTACACCTAGTATATACGGCTCGCTTCCCAAAGAAGAAAAGTAATTCTTCTGGGAACACGACCGCTGTCGTTCAGCTGGGTGCCTAAACCTTCCCTTTTTATGCTGGGTGCGAATGAATTGACATCAGTATCGAGCACAGGTACTGTCACCTGTTGGTGGTGTTGGAGGAGATGCTTACACTCATGGAAATGCTTCTTGTGCAGCTGCTCTGGCACCACGAGGGCACCTTCCGTGGCTGAGGCGTGGGGTAGCTGCCCTCCTGCTCAGCACAGAGGTGTTTCTCTCCGTTGTGTTGCCAGAAGTGTCGAAGCTAGGGAACCTGTAATACCAAAGTGCAACATCTGCTGGATTAGGGCTTGCTTCCGGGGGTGAGTGGTGGCTAGCGTGGGTTTGCAGGAGGTTCTCCTCTGCGGTGCAGAATACACAGCTTTAATGCACGGCGTCCTTCAGTAAGCACGGAGATGTGGTACGGTGCAGTTTGGCAAGGGCCATGGTGCTGACAGCATGGGAAAGCAGTGGGTGCTAAAGCGACAGAGCAGCCTTTGTAAGCAGGTGGTCCCTGCCTGGTAGAAAAGCTTTCCATAGTGTTCTGTCATCCTGTATGTCTCTACTGAGAAAAAAAATCATCATGCAATGATCTGTTAGTAAATAAGACAGTAAGTGCCAGCCTTTTGCCCCAGGTGAGCTGAACTTGGGATGTGTAGTATTGTTTTCTTAATTCATGGCTCCAAAGCGTATGTGTATTTCTACAGACAACATGACATACAGCTGTGTTGACAAACGTGTCTGTAAGTTAATTGAGTCTGTTTGGGTGACCAGCCGGTTAGTATGTCTTTTTTTCTTCTGCTGGCAGTTACAAATATGATAGCTTACGATCAAATCTTGTTTCATCCAGCCTGAAATTAATGCATGTGGCACACCGTCCATTACAAGGCCATGAATTCCTACTGCAAATCAGAAGGGCTTTTCATGTGGAAAGCTTCTTTGCGGGGAGAGTGGAAGGGAGGACAACTAACTGGAAGCTTGAGATCTCTGAGGGAGCACCCACAGAGACTGCATCTGCTGTGTGCGTTTCGGTTAAGCCATGACTGAGGTTGCTTGTCTGTCTCATCATGCTGCTAGCCTTGTGTCCGCCTCATCGCAGATGATACCAGCATTGTTTTTATTTCTCTGAGTTTTCATTTACATATATGTATATACAAATAATATTTTCCTGTTTAATAAACCACTTGGCTTTGGGTGGGAAGTATGCTTTGATAAAGAAAAATATTTGTGTTTTCAGAACATCTGTAGTAGTTTTGTTTAGATAAAGTAAAAAAACCATATTTTGATGTGTTTTCCAGTAAACTTGAATTTGAGATTATATTTAAGTGAAGCTTGATTCTAAGTCATTCATAATTTTCTAATATAATAACCATGTTAAATGGTTATCAAAAGATACTGCTGAATTTAATGTTTGCGGGTTATCACTGGTTAAAAAACTCATTTTGATTCTTTGATATAATTATGAAAATAGTTCATAAATTAAGATTTCTGCTAATTTCAACTACGATTTAAGTAAAATTTTTAATTAAAAACTTTTAATTTTTTTTTTCAGGGGACAATACATCTGTTCCGCAAATCACAGAAATCATTGGTTGGAAAGTTAACACATGAGTTTAGGCTGGTTGCAGCAGATAGAAGGGTAAGTATTTCTTTTTTAAAAAATTAATAATAATAAAAAAGATGTTAGCTGTGTTAAATTAAAATACATTACTAACTTGATTATCTTTTGAGAATATTTCTTTGAAATTTTCCAGCTGTGCTTAAAAAAAAAATCCAGCTGTGAAGTTAGATTCCTTCCTGTGCTTTGTCCCTGTCAATTAGTGTTCTCCAGAACTGTACTTATATTTAATGCCTTCTGTAGAACTGTAAACTGAATATGCAGAGATGTTTTGGGGATCTAAGTTCCAGCACAAAGACAGGAACCTACCAATATAGAGTTGTTTAAGTCTGTCTTCAAAAGTCAGGTGGTGTGTGCTGTACTAAAATGCAAATATTATACAGGGGTGATTTTTTTAGACTAAAAAGGTATTTTAAGCATGGTGCACAAGCGCTGTTTATTAACGTGTTTTGAGACAATCTGTAAATATAAAAATAGAATATGGGCTTGTTGAAATGAATTGTAAATTTTTGGGGGAGGGAGAAGAAGCTAATTCTGCTTGCATGTTTAAGTACTGCAATAACCTTTTTTAAAGCCAGGTAGATATATTTTTGTCTTGTGAATTTTGCAAGAGGTAAAATATGTATTTATTCTGATCAACAGTCCTGGAAGATCTTGCTGTTTGGTGCTATAAATTTAATATGTATTGGCTTCCTGCTAATGTGGTGCAGCTCTACAAACAGCATAGGTAGGTGGCTCTCTTGTATTGAAACTCCAACCAGCTATCATGCATTTCTTAGCTTGTGAAGTTCCAACATACTAAAAAAGCAAAGTTCAGCATGTAACGGAGTTAGGTGACTGCACAGCTGGGTTGGGAAAGCGCTTCCTTTTGACTTGCCAGTCAGTTTGGAGGTATTTCTTCAAGGCAAGTGTGGATGGGTGAAAGTCGTTCAAAGTTTGCAAGGTTTTCTGGATCTGCCGGTCATTTTCTTCCTGCAGTACCCTCTTTAAGATTGCAAAAAAGTAGACTTTTAAGCTAGTCCTCAAACTTGTTCCTTGTATAGATAGTACTAGTGACGTATAGAGACCCTATAAAAGAAGATATTTGTAGCATGGCAAAAGGCTTCTCTGCT